GAGGGCAAGTACCTCAACATAATAAAGGCCATATATGATAAACCCACAGCCAGCATTATACTGAACAGCGAGAAGCTGAAAGCATTTCCTCTGAGATCGGGAACCAGACAGGGATGCCCACTCTCCCCACTGTTATTTAACATAGTACTGGAGGTCCTAGCCACGGCAATCAGACAAAACAAAGAAATACAAGGAATCCAGATTGGTAAAGAAGAAGTTAAACTGTCACTATTTGCAGATGATATGATACTGTACATAAAAAACCCTAAAGACTCCACTCCAAAACTACTAGAACTGATATCGGAATACAGCAAAGTTGCAGGATACAAAATCAACACACAGAAATCTGTAGCTTTCCTATACACTAACAACGAATCAATAGAAAGAGAAATCAGGAAAACAATTCCATTCACCATTGCATCAAAAAGAATAAAATACCTAGGAATAAACCTAACCAAGGAAGTGAAAGACTTATACTCTGAAAACTACAAGTCACTCTTAAGAGAAATTAAAGGGGACACTAATAAATGGAAACTCATCCCATGCTCATGGCTAGGAAGAATTAATATCGTCAAAATGGCCATCCTGCCCAAAGCAATATACAAATTTGATGCAATCCCTCTCAAATTACCAGCAACATTCTTCAATGAATTGGAACAAATAATTCAAAAATTCATATGGAAACACCAAAGACCCCGAATAGCCAAAGCAATCCTGAAAAAGAAGAATAAAGTAGGGGGGATCTCACTCCCCAACTTCAAGCTCTACTACAAAGCCATAGTAATCAAGACAATTTGGTACTGGCACAAGAACAGAGCCACAGACCAGTGGAACAGATTAGAGACCCCAGAAATTAACCCAAACATATATGGTCAATTAATATTTGATAAAGGAGCCATGGACATACAATGGCAAAATGACAGTCTCTTCAACAGATGGTGCTGGCAAAACTGGACAGCTACATGTAGGAGAATGAAACTGGACCATTGTCTAACCCCATATACAAAGGTAAACTCAAAATGGATCAAAGACCTGAATGTAAGTCACGAAACCATTAAACTCTTGGAAAAAAACATAGGCAAAAACCTCTTAGACATAAACATGAGTGATCTCTTCTTGAACATATCTCCCCGGGCAAGGAAAACAACAGCAAAAATGAGCAAGTGGGACTACATTAAGCTGAAAAGCTTCTGTACAGCGAAAGACACCATCAATAGAACAAAAAGGAACCCTACAGTATGGGAGAATATATTTGAAAATGACAGATCTGATAAAGGCTTGACGTCCAGAATATATAAAGAGCTCACACGCCTCAACAAACAAAAAACAAATAACCCAATTAAAAAATGGGCAGAGGAACTGAACAGACAGTTCTCCAAAAAAGAAATACAGATGGCCAAGAGACACATGAAAAGATGCTCCACATCGCTAATTATCAGAGAAATGCAAATTAAAACTACAATGAGGTATCACCTCACACCAGTAAGGATAGCTGCCATCCAAAAGACAAACAACAACAAATGTTGGCGAGGCTGTGGAGAAAGGGGAACCCTCCTACACTGCTGGTGGGAATGTAAATTAGTTCAACCATTGTGGAAAGCAGTATGGAGGTGCATCAAAATGCTCAAAACAGACCTACCATTTGACCCAGGAATTCCACTCCTAGGAATTTACCCTAAGAACGCAGCAATCAAGTTTGAGAAAGACAGATGCACTCCTATGTTTATCGCAGCACTATTTACAATAGCCAAGAATTGGAAGCAACCTAAATGTCCATCTGTAGATGAATGGATAAAGAAGATGTGGTACATATACACAATGGAATACTACTCAGCCATAAGAAGTGGAAAAATCCAACCATTTGCAGCAACATGGATGGAGCTGGAGAGTATTATGCTCAGTGAAATAAGCCAAGCGGAGAAAGAGAAATACCAAATGATTTCACTCATCTGAGGAGTATAGGAACAAAGGAAAAACTGAAGGAACAAAACAGCAGCAGAATTACAGAACCCAAAAATGGACTAACAGGTACCAAAGGGAAAGGAACTGGGGAGGATGGGTGGGCAGGGAGGGATAAGGGGGGGGAAGAAGAAGGGGGGTATTAAGATTAGCATGCATGGGGGGGAGGGAGAAAGGGGAGGGTGGGCTGCACAACACAGAGAGGACAAGTAGTGACTCTACAACATTTTGCTAAGCTGATGGACAGTAACCGTAATGTGGTTGTTAGGGGGGACCTGATATAGGGGAGAGCATAGTAAACATAGTATTCTTCAGGTAAGTGTAGATTAAAAATTTAAAAAAAAAAAAGAAAGAAAGAAAGAAAAGGGGGATTACTCCTTAACAGGATAAAACTATTGGTAAATCAAAGATCAACGCATGCTTTAAATATCCTTAATGTTGATCACTTAAAGGGTGTCAGATGATCAGCTATGGAGGTACTCTTTTCTGATAATATTCCTTTCTCTTAAAAAAAAAAAAAAAAAAGCAGTTACTGTGTGCTGACCTCCAATGAGTTCTGCACAGTGGTATAGAGGGCATGTCAAAGTGTGGGCAAAGGGTCTGTTTGTTTCTACGCAGAAGATCAAGGCCTAGCTTGGATACCCAGAAAATGAACTAAGATACGATATGAGGAGGAGCTTCCGGCATCAGCACTCTCTGGAGGACTTGTGCCGGGGGATGATCATCAAAAAGCCTCCACAGGGATCCGGACGATGCTGCGGTTGTGGCTGCATCCAGCCCACCGTCTCCTGGACTTGCCATAAGAATGAGGAGGGAGATGTCTAGGCTGGCATGTGCATACAGTGAGACAACGAATTTGACCGGATCTGTACTGTTGGAACTCAACCAGGAGTTGGGAGGGGTGCAAGTTGTAGCACTCCAAAATCTCATGACTATAGACTATCTATGGTTAAAAGAACATATGGGATGTGAACAGATCCCAGAAATGGGCTGCTTTAATTTGTCTGATGGTTCAAGTACAGTTGGACAATATCCATCATATCATAGATAAATTTTCACAAATGCCTAGGGTGCCTAAATGGTTTTCTTGGCTTCACTGGAGATGGATGGTAATTATAGATTTGCTTTGTTTATGTCACCGTATTCCTATTATGTTAATATGTGTGTGCAAATTAGTTAGTAGTTTAAAACCTATACATACTTAAGGTACTATACAAGAAGATATGTCAAAGAAATAATCAATGGTTTCTTCCATATGCTACTTCTATAGCTTTTCCTCTTCCTTCCTCATTACAACCCTTAAATAGAATTCGTGCCTCATATCGAATTTACCGAGTATCATAATTCCTCCAGGTGGTAAAGATACCTCGAGACAAGTGCTGGGCATAGAAGCCACAGGGCATAAATCTGCAAAGAAGTAAAAAGCTAACCTTTGCAAACAATATGGCTTCTCTCTCACTTACCAACTTTACATTTCCCTGTATGGCCCCGGAAGATGACTGGTTAGCCAGAGACGGGTAAGATTCCTCAAGGGAGGAACAACCTAAGACAGGCACAGTCGCAGGGGGGCCATCAGGTGAGAATTTGGGGATCAACAGAGGTGAGGCTCAGAACCTCACCCCCCCTGCTTTGAGAGAAATCTTCTGCATCCGTGGATGTCTTGCTGCCCTTGTCTAGCCTGGATTAATACTTAGTCCATAGGCACACACCTGATCATCTGATCATCTACATTTGCCTTCTTACAGCACTAAACTATGTTTTCTACCTTTATCTTGCATCTACCTACCACTTCAGCATTTTATTAAAAATAAAAATAATAATAATAATAAAGGGAGAAATGTGGGATCAACATATAAATCAAGTATAACAATCAAATGAATATTCATATTTGACCTGATTGCTTATAGTTCATAATGTGTGATCAAAACCGAAAGTTTCTGTGATGAATGCCCTTGTACTGTTCACCATGTAAGAATTTATTCACTATGTAAGAATTTGTTCACCATGTAAGAACTTGTTCGTTATGCTTCAGAAGATTGGAGACTGATGAGAATTAGGCTTGAGATGGATTAATGATTGTGCATTGAGCATTGACCCCCCTACACAGGATTTTATTGTTGTTAACAACCATTTGATCAATAAATATGAGAGATGCCCTCTCAAAAAAAAATAACTTTAAAAACTAAGGAATGTGTTAGTTTCAGCAAACAGGTATTGTGCATAAAATATCATTCATTAAATATAGTGAATATACACTGTGAAAAAATATATATATAAAGGTCTGTTTATTTTGAATTGGGTCTTAGAATATATTAGACAATGTCTAATGAAGTGAGATAATGGCATTGTGGATTATGTTTGAATAATTCCTTATGTTAGAGATACTAAAATATTTATGTGTGAAAAAAATTTAAAAATGCAGAAGTCTGTGTTTTATATGTGCTTGGGAGAGAGCAAGGCTAGACCTTCAGACCCAAAGATGGGACCAAAAGGGGGGCTGGGGGGAGGTAGGCCCCTTTCCCTGAGGGGGCAGGTTGTCTAGGAGACAGGTTTGGGTGTGGTGGAGACACCCTGGCATGTGCAAAGGAAGAGGACATGCGGGACACATGAAATGAAACAGCCCTTTGGAGACAGAAGCCACTGCGATTGAATAAAAGAAGCACATATAAAACATCATTTTGAGAGTCTATCTTTATGTTGCTGTACTTTCTATCATTTTTCCTTTTTTGTTCTCATTATTCAGTAAAGTTTCTTTGGGAAGTCAGACTGTGTTAAAAGATATTTCCATTTCTAAAAGGCCAGTCTTCAAAGACAGTGAGTGAGTGACATTCCCAGGAGATTAGACAGTGGCAACAGCTGGAGCCAAGTGGGGGCCCCTCTAAAGGAAAGAGAATTTAGGTTGATTGGGGAGCACTCACTCACCAGAAACCCTCGCTTCCCCACCCTGGGGGTGGGGGTATCTGTGCTTTGCTTAACATGGGGCTTGTCATTCCCTGCCATATGTGAGATTTGCTCTTACTGGCTGCTTCTGACCTTTCCAGAACCTCAGAGGAACTCCCATGCCTGCCAAGAAGTGGTCCTCTTGCTTCCTGAACCACTGGTAGTGGAAATCACTGAGACCATCTGAAACTCATGAACCTTCATGTCCTTTGCTGGGTAAAGGATTTGCTTAATTAAGAGAAGAATTCATTAAGTCCTAGAACCTACTTTCATTTTCAAAACATTTAACCCACCATTCACACTCTGTTTTTGCAAACTTGAGTCTTAATCTTTTATTTTTTTGTAAGTGGGTTTGACAGAATGCTATATCCTCAGAATAAAGATTTCAGCCATAGACTATGAAATTTTCTTCATCAGTCACAACTTCTAGGCTTCTATACTTTTCTCCAACAAAGTTGAATTAATGCAATTTAGGCTCAGGATTTGGTGCCCAGCCTTGTCTTCACAGTGAAATTCCAGGAGGAATTGCTAATATTTATAGAGCACTTGCTACTTACCAGACATTATTTTAAGTGCTTTATATGCAACAATGAACAAGGAAGGGAGGGTGTTATAACAAAAAGACAAGAGATAAACTTTGGAGTTAGATGAACTTTACTCAAATCTCCACTCTGTCACTTACACTACCTATGTAATTTTGATCAAATTTCTTAACCATTTTATGTCTTGGTTTCCTTATTTGCAAAAAAGGAGCTAATAGTAATATATGCTCTCCAGGCTATTTTGTGAAGATTAAGAGAAATAACATATGGAAATAAGCCTGGCACATAACCAGGGTCCTTGCCCTTTACTCCTTCCTGATGAAAGCGTAAGTGGGACAGAATGTGTGCAGTTTGACCCACAACACTACAAAATGCAGTGATTAGTTTTCTACCTTCCAATAAATGATCTCATTAATTTTCTGGCAGAGAGGCAAGAGAGGGGCTGGCAGCTTGCCAGGGCTAATGGAGTCATTTTGTAGGACTCTGTAGCTTGTTGTCAATGAATGAAACTCTTACCCCCCCATTACTCCGCAGGGCAGCACAAACCAAATTAGATGCAATTATGAGAGTTCAACAACCCAACGGTGTGGGGCCAGTGTTGATGTCGAGCAGTTGTCCTCAAACCAACCTGTGTATTATCATCCCCCTGGGAGAGCTAAAATGAATGGATCCCAGGCTGCACCCCCAGACAGTCTGATGGAACTGGTTTGGAGTGTGGCTCAGGCATCAGTATTTTTTATAGGGTGCTGGCAACCGGCTAGGAGCCCTCTGAGGTCAGCAGTCTGGTTCTGCAAACAGGGCCTCCAAATGTGATGCCAGCTGCTACAGGAGTGGCTTTTATGCTCCATCGTTGCTTTTGCCACCACTGATTATATCACACTGTTGCTCTATCCCACCTGCCTCCACAGGGCCAGACATGGTCACGTCCACATGAAAATTCCTCCACACCTCCATCAGTGTCTGGGCTCAGATGCACCTGCTGATACAATAGTGGGACAGAAGGACAGTGTTCTCTCCAACAGTCCAAAGACTCACCTCCTGGACGTTTCCCAAGATGGTTGGTTACTGGGATGTTTACCCTCTTCAGAGAAAAATCTCACCTCAGCCACCGGATTGTGTCTGTTTTTATGTTCCCCACAAGATACTCACAGGAGAGTCCTATGTTGTGCATTTTTCAGTGTTACATTCAATCTCTTCTGCAATCACCTTGAGCCCATGCTTTAAAATGAGACTCACATGCAGTTTACTTTGATTGTGTCCACCTGTCTTTACGGCGACCACAGTCTCCAGTTCATGTTCACTCAGAGGAGCTGGTAATTAGGGCATCCGAGGTGACTGAGGGAGTAATTCTGGTCTAACTGGGATTGTCTCTGTGGTTTCCATGCTCTTGTGCTATGTTCCTCTGTCAAGCTGGAATGCTACAGTCTTCCTTTAAATCGAAGGCTCTATTTATGCACTGCATGAAACTAAATCTTTAGTATTGCTTTTTCCAGAAGGTTTACCTTTTCTTAGGGCATTGACATTTTATCATTTCATGCATCATGCAGTTTATTTTTAAGAATGACTTTCAAATGGTTTTACCATAAGATAACACAAGTGTTATAGAATATTCAAGCAAGACACCATGAATACAGTACTTTCCCTTCCCCTCCACTCCCCTCACAAAAGCCACACCCTAATATTCACTAACTTTAATTTGGTGTATATACTTTTAGAGATTTCCTAGGGGCTATGTTTTAATGCTCAGAATGAAAGCGTACACACACTTTATTGCCAAAAATAAATTTCACAGTAATTTTCCAGTCTCCTTGACCATTGTTCTAAATACTTGCCTAATATTCTCATATGTGGGAGTGCTGTGATTAGCCATTTACCAAGTGTCAGTGAATTGGTCATTTCTAATTTTTCATGATCATAAGTAATGCTGTGCTAAACATCTTCACGCATATATTTTTCATTTAAGATAATTTGCTTTGGTTCAACTCCCATAAATGGAATTACTTACTGAAAGACTATGAACAAACTAAAGAAGCAATTTACAACTTAATGATAGGAAAATAAGGATATATAGCCAAACAATGTATCTGGTTAAATAAATGATGTTTTATCTGTGTAACTGAATACTATGAAGCCATTAAAAATTATATTTTAGAAGATCATTTAATATCATGGAAAGATTCCCACTATATATCAACTTACAAAACTTCCTATAGAATTTTTACAAAAACATTTTTATAATAAAATATATCTGAATAGAATTTATATGGAAACACAAAGGCCTAAGAATAGCCCAGATAATACTGTACTGAAGAACAAAATTGGAAGGCTTACTCTGCCAAAACTCAAGGTTGATTGTAAATCTACAGCAATTAAGGCAGTACAGCACTAGTGCAAGAATATTTTTTTTTTAAAGAAAGGAACAGAATGCAGGGGTCACACACTTTTTCTGAAAAGCCAGAGAGTGAATACCTTTGGCTTTGCAAGTCACATGGTTTGTCAAAACTCAACTTTGAAAGCAGCTATGGACACAGGCAAATGAATGGGTGTGACCAAGTCACAATGCAAGTCCATTTGCAAGAGCAGCAGCTGAACTTAGTTTGCCTATTCCTGCACAGAAAATATTCACAAATAGAACCATATATATATGTATTTGTGTGTATGTGTTTATGTGTGTGTGACTTGTGGCAAATGTGATACTGAAATGCAAAGCAAAAGGATGGTGTTTTAAAAAAATTACACGATCCAATTGGCTCCCATATTGAAAAAAAGAAAGATTTGGTTTCTATTTCACATCCTACACAAAAATAAGATGCAGCTCAATTGTAGACATAAATGTGAAAAAATCAAACAATAAACTTTCTAGAAAATAATATAGGAGAATACATATATTTGTGACCTTAGGGTAGGGAAAGATTTCTTAGATAAGAAACAAAATGCACTTGCCAGAAATAAAAAGATTGGCACATTGGGCTATATTAAAATTATGAACATTTTCTTTATCAAAAGGTATTAACAAGTGACAGTTTGAAAGGAGATGTTAGCAACACATGTAAGTAAAAGAGGACTTGTATCCACAAAATATTAAAAATTGCTAGGGGGTAGTTTGTTCTCCTCAGTTCTTGTCTCTGCCACAACAAAGAATTGAAGGGCAGAGACACAATAGTGAAGCAGAATGAAAGTTTTGTTTGAATACACTCTAAGGGAGGAACAGGCTAGTGTCAAAGTAGATAAAGGCAGGTTTGCTTGAACAAACCAGAGAGGAACTAAAAACAGGGGGGAAAGAGGAGCTCCATTGAACTGCAGCTTGACATAGGGAAAATCCCTTGCCCATTCCTGGCATCCAGTGTCTGCTTGAATCTGTATGGTGTGGGAACTAAGTCTCTACCATCCCAGGATTTGGGGGAGCCTCAGAGCACTGGATTCAGTGAGATTATGTTCTGAGAACCTCCTAACAGCAAAGAAAAGAGATTTTCAGGCAGCCAACTAAGGAGCATGATCATATAGCTGCAGTTCTGTCTGGGTCACCCAGAGGATGGGAACTTGCAAGCCCAAATCGGAGCTCTCAGTAGCCCCCCTCTACTTATCTGGAGTAGGACAGAGAGAGACACACACTTGAAGAATGATGAGTGCAGGCAACCTCAGAAAGGAGGAGGCCCACCCAAAAGCTGGGATTCTGTCTTTTAAGGCTTTCAAGAATGGGGCAAATGCACAGTAATCAAGACAATTTGGTACTGGCACAAGAACAGACCCATAGACCAGTGGAACAGGATAGAGTCCAGATATTAACCCAAACATACATGGTCAATTAATAGACAATAAAGGAGCCATGGATATATAATGGGGAAATGACACCCTCTTCAACAGCTGGTGTTGGCAAAATTGGACAGCTACATGTAAGAGAATGAAACTGGATAACTGTTTCACTGTCTAATCCCATACACAAAAATAAACTTGAAATGGATCAAAGACCTGAATGTAAGTCATGAAACCATAAAGCTCTTAGAAAAAAACATAGGCAAAAATCTCTTGGAGATAAACATGAGCAACTTCTTCATGAACATATCTCCCTGGGCAAGGGAAACAAAAGCAAAAATGAACAAGTGGGACTGTATCAAGCTGAAAAGCTTCTGTACAGCAAAGGACACCATCAATAGAACAAAAAGGCATCCTGCAGTATGGGAGAATATATTCATAAATGACATATCCTATAAAGGATTGACATCCAAAATATATAAAGAGCTCACATACCTCAACAAACAAAAAACAAATAATCTAATTAAAAAATGGGTAGAGAATCTGAACAGACACTTCTCCAAAGAAGAAATTCGTATGGCCAACAGGCACATGAAAAGTTGTTCCACATCGCTTGTCATCAAAGAAATGCAAATTAAAACCACAATGAGATATCACCTGATACCAGTTAGGATGGCCAACATCCAAAAGACACACAACAACTAATGTTGGTGAGGATGTGGAGAAAGGGGAACCTGCTGCTGGGAATGTAAACTAGTTCAACCATTGTGGAAAACAGCATGGAGGTTCCTCAAAAAACTAAAAATAGAAATACCATTTGACCCAGGAATTCCACTCCTAGGAATTTACTAAGAATGCAGGAGCCCAGTTTGAAAAAGACATATGTACCCCTATGTTTATTGCAGCACTATTTACAATAGCCAAGAAATGGAAGCAACCTAAGTGTCCACTTAGATAAAGTGGATAGATAAAGAAGATGTGGTATATATACATAATGGAATATTATTCAGCCATAAGAAGAAAACAAATCCTACCATTTGCAACAACATGAATGGAGCTAGAGGGTATTATGCTCAGTAAAATAAGCCAGGTGGAGAAAGACAAGTATCAAATAATTTCACTCATCTGTGGAGTATAAGAACAAAGAAAAAACTGAAGGAACAAAACAGCCCCAGACTCACAGAACCCCAAAATGGACTAACAGTTACCAAAGGGAAAGGGACTGGGGAGGATGGGTGGGAAGGGAGGGATAAGGGGGAAAAGGTGGCATTACAATTAGCACACATAATGTAGGGGAGGAGGCACAGGGAAGGCTGTACAACACAGAGAAGACAAGTTGTGATTCTATAGCATCTTACTATGCTGGTGGACAGTGACTGTAATGGGGTATGTGGTGGGGACTTGATGATGGGGGGGAGTCTAGTAACCATAATGTTGCTCATGTGATTGTATATTAATGATACCAATTAAAAAAAAAAGAATGGGACAAAAGTAAAGCGTTGGGGACATAGGCTTGTCAGGCAGTTTCATGATGTCTATCACTGGTGAGAGACAATATGTCATTGTCTGTAGCCGGTCCTCTAGGTAATTCTGTAGAATAAACTTTTTGTTTCTCTCTAAAAGAGTGGCCACTCCCAAGCACTGGGAATACATCAGTTAAGACTGCTTGCACCGCCCTTAGAATAAGTCATTGGCTGGTTACTAAAGTGTATGTTAGGAATCTAACCCCCAACTCTCTGCTCTTAGCCACAAGATGAGGCCTTCTTGTTTCCAATATTCACATCTCAGCATTTTTAGGAAAATTAATTATAATGCTTGTCCCATGTCTCTGCCCTATCTCACCTGCATTAGTTAAAGCAAGTCTCAACATCAGCCCAGATTCAGGGCATGTGGAATGAACTCACATTGCAAAAGGGTGTTAACTCTTTGAGTCTTCTCTGGCTTTCTGGTTTTATCTGATTAACTCCCTGAGTTCTTGGTGTGTCTCACTCTCTTTTCATCCCACTCATATCTGTCTTTTGCTTAACAAAATGACTACAAATCAATTTTTTAGAAAAGAGAAAGAAAAATAGGCAAGAGAATCAGACACTTAACAAAAAGGAGATCTCCAAATAATCAATAGATAACAGAAAGTTGTTAAATGTCATTAATTTCCCGGGAAATACAAATCTAAAAATAATGATATACTCTCTAGAATATCAAGAGCTAGTGAGAGTGTGGAGCAATCACTGATACTCTTATACCCTGCCAGGTGTACACTGGTACAATCCCTTTATGATGGTCTACCAAAGCTGAGCATATTCATACCTATGACCCAGCAATTCCACTCCCAGGTTTAGACCCAAAAGAAATGTGTATGCATGCATATCAAAAGATATGTCCAAGAATGCTCACAGCTACATTGTGCATAAGAGCCTCAAATTGGAAACAACTCAGATGTCTCTAAATAGTAGAATGGATAAATAAACTGTAGTATA